AGGATTTTACCGGAGGTAGAAGGGTTTTCCCAGTGTGTCCATAGAACAGCAAAGTCTTCAAAAGGAAGGTGTGCGGAGCCAGCAAGCCCTAAAATCTCTCCCAGGACATACCTCCGGGAGGAAGTTCCGCAGTAACCTAAAATACCAAACCAACTTAGGGAAAGACGTCTAGGTACAGGGTTGGTTGGCAGGACTAGCGACCTGTGCGGGTCACGGTGACCCGCAGCGAAACCGGGCCACGCGGACCAATGATCGCCAACAAGGCAGTGTCACGGCTCCTCGGGTGAAAGTGGGGAAGCCCTGAAAAGGGCCATTTGTTTGCATGTGACGGCTTGGGTGAGTCTCAGCCCCCGAAGCCGTAGAGGGTGCGGCCCTGGCGCTTGAGCGCGTAGACCACGTCCATGGCCGTGACCGTCTTGCGCTTGGCGTGCTCCGTGTAGGTGACGGCGTCCCGGATCACGTTCTCCAGGAACACCTTGAGCACCCCGCGGGTCTCCTCGTAGATGAGGCCGGAGATGCGCTTGACGCCGCCGCGCCGGGCCAGCCGCCGGATGGCGGGCTTGGTGATGCCCTGGATGTTGTCGCGCAGCACCTTGCGGTGGCGCTTGGCGCCGCCCTTGCCCAGGCCCTTCCCGCCCTTGCCGCGGCCAGACATGCCGAGAGTGAAGACCGCACGGCGTCGCGTCCTGTGCCCCGTGCTGCAGGCTTTATACCCCTGCTGCGGACCGAACTGAGAACCTCAGACAGACGGGAAGTGCCACCCCGTGGGGAGAGGGAAGTGTGAGGAGACAAAAAAAAAAAAAAAAGTCCTAGGTTTCCTGTTCTGTGTTTTGTTTGTACCTCGTAACCCATTTTGTTACTCTGTTTGAAAACTTTAAAAATTGCTTTCCAATGCGAACGCCAAGCGCGAAATGTGAGAAATACAAAAAAGGGAAGTAATAAAATAACAACCTTTTATCCCACCACACAGAGAACACTTAGTCCTACTGGCTAGTTTGGGACTTTGGTGAATAGATAGGTGCACATATTTTTTCAAAGAAAATTTACAGTGCCATGTATGACGTTTTGGAACTTCTTTACACTGATCACATTTTAATTTCCCTTTTCTAAAGACAAAAAAAGTTGTTTTTAATATCTACTTGTTATTCCTTCTTAAGAAGTCTCTATAGCACACTTTAACAAATTCCCTGGCAATTCCTTAATAAGCCACATGTTTAAAATAATTCTTTTCCCTATTGATTGATGTACATACTTGGAACGGTAGAGGCCAAGGGAAGGCCACCCTGCAATGGCTCCCTTTGACGTGAAGGTTATTAAAATCCAGGAAATTTTGGAAAAGCTTTTTACCTCCTCCACAACTGCCTAAAAGGAAATTAGATAGAGGACCTACTCCAGGAAGAGAGTAATCACAGTAAAGAACTGTTTTATACTATGAGCTAGGTATAGACGATGGGGAGGAGCAAGGCCTGTTTGATCAAAGCCCTTTATGTTTCATTGTTTCTGAGTGGCCCAGCAAACATTTTATTTGCCAGGCATTTACTCTTCTGGTGAATTACATTCCTCCCCTTTGAAGTTCCAGACTCCCATCCCCTTCTCCTTAGTTCAGAAAGACATATATACTTCATTTTACTTGACTGTCTTTGAAATTTCATGTCTGTATGGATTCCCTGTAGGTATACTATTATAGTTTATATTTACCTATTAATCTGTCTTATATCAACTTGATATTTTCCTGTTAATCTGTCTCACGTCAATTTGGAGGCTAGAAGGGCCTCCCAAAGGACAGGATATTCCTGCTCTGACAGAACCATTACTAAAAATTCTATTCTGTTCTATAGTTTAATCAATTTCCTTTGCCAAAGGAAATCTATTTTCAGTTGAATCTTTGGAAAATTTACATTAGGGAAAGTGAAAAGAGGGATTATTTATGTGTAATACTCCATCACAAGCATTTTCTATGATACATTTTAAGTAAAATCTCTAGTATTTAGCATAATGTGCTTTCTATTTTTTCTATTTTAAAGGAGATCCATACATAATTTATTTCTTGAGGATAAGCTAGAATTGAAATGCTTTGTCAAAGAGGATGTAGATGTTGTGGTATTTGATTAATATTTCTACATTTTCCACAAAATTCTTACCACATTCAGCAATAACTGTTGTGCATGTAAGTTTGTCATACATACTCAAAGAGGCATATTTTGAGATGATATATTCTGCTCCCCTTCAAAATACTGTAACTTGTTTCAGGTTTAAAGGAAAAATGAACCCTCTTGGAATTTTTATCATAACTGCATCGCACTGATTAACTGGGGGCAGAAAAACGGACATCTTTAAAAGAATGAGTTCTTCGTCTTCGTATATTGTAGGAGCTGGACATTTTTCCCTTACTTCCTTCTAGATTCTTTGGCTAATCTACTAATTACAATGACATAAAACATTAACAGGAGAAAAACAGATTTAATTTCGAAAGTACAGAAGCCCTGTAAAAAATAAGACTTAAAGGCAGTCAGGCAATTAAGGCTTCTAGGACATCCCCAGCTAAGGAATGAGAGAGGGGCCGGGGGCTATGGAGGGGAGGAGAATCCACAGCAAGATAAGATTAGAGTTTCATAATCACATGTCTGCCCTGCCAAGCTGAGTCTTTCACATTAAAAAATTATGTCTGATAATAGCTCTCTCTCTCTCTCTGTTATCAACCCCTTACCTAAATTCTTTAAGGCAGTTAGGGGGAAGGCAAAAGTTTCTCTTGACCCCGTGGTATTCTCAGTTGACTTTAGTTCAAAATAGTCCATGTGTCCATGGCATTGGGGGGAGACTTGTTCTGAACCCCTTCACTGTAATGTTACGTTAAAGTAGTGCCTGGCTCACGGTAGAGGGGCAATGAGTATTTGTTGAATGAAATGTAGGGGAATGAAAAATTCTCTGTCCTCTTTGGATTTCTGCCTAAGAATTAAACTGACAGGAGAAAAGCATACACGTTTTGTTGAATTTTTACATGTTACATGGCAGCCCTCACAAGAGAAGGAAGTCCCGAAGCAACTAGTCAGGGAGATTTCATATTTTTAGAAAAGATAAATTTGTGAAAAATTGACAAGACAGCGAGGTTTGGGCTTGGGGTAGTAAGTTGAAGAAATAAGGTTTTTTCTTGTGGCCTTTCAGCCCCAAATTCCTTCTGGTGATAAGAAGGTCTCCTTCCCTCAGGGTACAGGGTGGGTGCCTGTCCCAGGGCAGGTTTATCTCCCGCTTTCAGGGAAGGGTGGAGCAGGGAGGGGAGCTCCAAGGGACCTTCCTGCTTCTGCAGTTTTCTCAAACTCTTTTAAGCTTTAGATATTCAATATATGCCTAGGTGCTTTGGGGCATCGAGTCAGAATGAACGTGGCAAGTCTCCTTTCCTCCCAAGCCCACTTTCTGACACCCTTTCCTGAGTAGTGATGTGGCACAAGCTGAAAGCAAGACATTCCAACCTGTCCCCCTTCCCCTTCCCCTTCCCCTGCGGCCGGTTTGCAGCAAGGCCTCACCGTTCTGCTTCATTTCCCCCCGTCTCCCTCTCGTTCTCCTCTTCCTGCCTCCTCCTCAGTTCAGAACCTCACTCCCGGCTGGTATTTCCAAACTTTTCACCTGGATCTCACCCCCCTTTCCATCCGTTCTCAACTGGGCCACCAGAATAATGACTCTGAATCATACATTTTACAAGATTTTAAAATTCTGCAGATTCTGCCTTCCTCTAGTAGATGAAACTTTATATTTCTTCTCAAGGGGTACAAAGCTCCTCAGTATCGTAAGGTTCACTGCCCCACCTTCTACTTATCTTTCCACATTCATCTCTGGCCATCCCAGCCTCCAGCCATGCTAGAGGATTTCTAAGTCCCGGGCACTCGACCTGGAGCACTCCTCCCCTCCAGGTTATACCATCTGCCCCGTTCAGCCGACTCCATTTTGCTAGCTTCCCAGTTTCGTTTTAGAGTCCGTATTTTCTTAACTGTTTCTTTGGAAGAAGCTGGGACTTTCCCATTGCAGGTACATTTCTTAGTACCTATGAGGCACCCGAGAGCAGTGTGCGGGATAAATGTAAGAGTGAAGAATGATGGCTGCTTTGAGTAAGCAAATCTCAAAGTTAGCCTTAAGAGGTAACCTGGCCACACATGTTTTGTTCTTGTAATGCACTCTGCAAGTCCTTACTCTTGAGCAAAGGTGCTAATGGTAGATCTTCCTGAATTTACTGCAGCTGGTCCAACACAGCACCCAAACCAGGCATGCCTTTAATATGGCTTCCCGTCATCAGAGGCAGCAGACTTCCCTGCCAACAGAAATGAAGACACGCTGCATTATTGGGAATATTATTTTAGAGAATTGAAGAGGTGGAGAAGAAACATTTCCAGCTCTTCACTCAGCTCCACGAGAAAGAACTCAGGTTTATTTTGCAACCATACTGGTTACACTGCTAATGCTTGTAATTTTAGTGGGAGATGGTGGACCAAGGGACCATGATGTGGATACCTGCGGGGGTGACCCGAGGAAGTTAACTGGTTGAGAAAGTGGAACACGATCTACACTATTCTGCCTGGTGACTCCAAGTCACCAAGCTTCCAGTCAGCACTACTGTCCTGACACATTACCTCCTAAATATAGCTTTGAAAGATGAAGGAGGAGGCGGTGTGGCCCTGCTAGATATACTAGATGATTAATTCTAGTCTCATCCACTGAGACCTATCACTCCAAGATCCTGCTTAATCCTTTAACTCTAGAGGCAGTTTAACGAGGCTTACCCAAATAAAAGCTTAAGAAGCCAGGAACTATTAGGACAGGTTCTCCACAGGACTTCCAAATAGCTCTACAGCCTAACCAAAGATGCGAGGTGTTATTTCATTGTGTCTTACTAGACGAAATATTCAATACTAAAAAGCAACTGCAAACCAAACGCTGAAATAGGTACGAGACAAATCCCCAAAGCAATTACCTAGAAAGCTAGTTTGCTAACACTACTTATATAGAAAAAACTAACGTCCACTTCTACTTTTTACCAAAGCTAAAGAGCGAACAAGCTCTTTCTTAGAAATGGTGGATGGCTCTGAAAAGAGCCTTTGGGTTGCGGTCAGCTGCCGGCGGGCTCACTTGGAGCTGGTGTACTTGGTGACGGCCTTGGTGCCCTCGGACACGGCGTGCTTGGCCAGCTCCCCGGGCAGCAGCAGGCGCACGGCCGTCTGGATCTCCCGGGACGTGATGGTCGAGCGCTTGTTGTAATGCGCCAGGCGGGACGCCTCGCCCGCGATGCGCTCGAAGATGTCGTTGACGAACGAGTTCATGATGCCCATGGCCTTGGACGAGATGCCCGTGTCGGGGTGCACCTGCTTCAGCACCTTGTACACGTACACCGAGTAGCTCTCCTTGCGGCTGCGCTTGCGCTTCTTGCCGTCCTTCTTCTGCGCCTTGGTCACCGCCTTCTTGGAGCCCTTCTTCGGGGCCGGAGCCGACTTGGCGGGCTCGGGCATGTTGCAGACAACAGCGAAAGCGCTCGCGAAGAACCGAAGTAACGGCGTCACCAAGCCGCCCCTTGTCCGGCTTATATAGAAGCCCTTATGCAAATAAGGCGTAAATTACACCCTGCGTCTGATTGGTGGCTGTTCAACCCAACGTCAGAAGTTAGTTCTGCCCAATCGGAACGCAAGGATCCCAAAGTTGCATTTCCATTGGGCGATATAAAGCCACAGTCTTAGCCAATGCGCAACCTCGCTTTTGGCGCTCAACAGGGTTATAAAAAGTGCCGGGCTGGCTGTGTAGCTTTGGCAGCTGCTCGCAGTGTGTTTGGTACCGTCATGTCCGGGCGGGGCAAGCAAGGCGGCAAGGCTCGCGCCAAGGCCAAGACGCGCTCGTCGCGGGCCGGCCTCCAGTTCCCGGTGGGCCGCGTCCACCGCCTGCTCCGCAAGGGCAACTACGCCGAGCGGGTCGGGGCCGGCGCGCCCGTGTACCTGGCGGCCGTGCTCGAGTACCTGACGGCCGAGATCCTGGAGCTGGCGGGCAACGCGGCGCGCGACAACAAGAAGACGCGCATCATCCCGCGCCACCTGCAGCTGGCCATCCGCAACGACGAGGAGCTCAACAAGCTGCTGGGCCGCGTCACCATCGCGCAGGGCGGCGTCCTGCCCAACATCCAGGCCGTGCTGCTGCCCAAGAAGACCGAGAGCCACCACAAGGCCAAGGGCAAGTAGAATCGTGATTCAACTTGCCACACAACTCTCCCAAACCAAAGGCTCTTTTAAGAGCCACCTACGACTTTCTGTGAAGAACTGCACACTTTCAAAAGCTTCACTGTACAGCAGTTTATATCAGCCTCACAATTTGGGTTAAGGGAAGACAATTTGATCAGTTAGATTTTGCAAAGCCTGCAATTTGTTAAAAATTCTATGCCTTCATAGTATTCTAAAGGCTGGTTTGCATTCATCAGCACTTGGTAAATACATTATGGAGGGTCTCCACGCTTAATTACGGACGTTCTTAACTTATCCCATTTTAAGCCTCATAAAGGCATAAATTCTGGCAGTGGATTTGAGGCAAACGCAGCAGTTTGAAAACCTTGTTTCTTGGCTCTTGGTAATTAAAGACATCCTGAAGATGCATCAACCCCAGCCTCCATACCAATCCAAAGCTGTTTTCAGAGCCTTTAGAATTCTGGGACACACCTAATCTGGCCTTTTTCACATTGCTAAATTGAGGAAATTTTTAATCAGCCTCTTTATTTGAAAAATTACCAGGTAGCTGATTGACTTTTTTAAATGCCTTTTTTAAAATTGTGACTTAAATGTCTTGGTTCACGAATGAAATTAGGTTCTATAATTGCCTGCCTTGGTGACTTCTAGCTCAGTAGGCATCAAGACGCATCATGCCATGCATTGAACCTATCCTATGGTTTTGCCAGTTGCTAACTAGAATTACTGGATGTATGTAAAGGGGTGGCTTAGTTTATCCCCATGTAGCTTACTGATGGGGGGTGGGGGATTAGATTAAGACAAAGGAATTATGAGTAATTATGTTAAATTACAGACATACAATGCTTCATGCCCATCGCAGAGCCAGCCTGTCCACCCCCAAATTGAACAAGACAATAGGTTTCTGTTATAATTTTGAATTTCCAGGATAGAAAAATAAAGCATGCTGTAATGGGATTGTCTTATATTATCTGAAAATGAAGTTCATGTAAGGATGTGTTTCTTTGTGAAATTCCTTGCCTTGGATTGCTCACATGCAAATTATATTTTTCTAGCTGAAAAATAAAAGCAAATCTTAAATTTAAGTATTCAAAGAATAAGAAATTGAGAGGAAAGGGTAGAGTTGAGCTGTCCTGTGGTAATCACTAGCCAATTGTGCCGGTAATCACTGGGCATGTGGCTAGTCTGACTTCAGTGCAGAATCTATAAAATACACTGTATTCCGCAGGGTTCGTACAAAATAAAAAGCAATGTAAAATATCTAACAATTGCTGACTATATGTCGAAATGAATGTTTTGGATATATTGGGTTAAACATTTAAAATAATTTTTCCTGGTTTTACCTTGTTCTAATGTGGATCCTAGAAGAATTACCATTTCTTACGTAGCTTGCATTTATTTCTACTGGAAATCGCCAGTAGAAAGCAGACAGAAAACATATATATGAAGGTCAGGGGCAAGTCATAGCAGGGCGTTTGGTGCACAATAAAAAGTTCGAGTCTTTAACCAATCCGGTTCCCGGTTGTGTAGACTGGTCCCCTTTTGTCCAATCAGCTCCTGGCTCTCACTATAAATACTCTGACCAGCTTTCGCTTCTAACTGGCATTGGGCGTTCAAGCGATGGCTCGCACGAAGCAGACGGCCCGCAAGTCGACCGGCGGCAAGGCCCCGCGCAAGCAGCTGGCCACCAAGGCGGCCCGCAAGAGCGCGCCGGCCACCGGCGGCGTCAAGAAGCCGCACCGCTACCGGCCCGGCACGGTGGCCCTGCGCGAGATCCGGCGCTACCAGAAGTCCACCGAGCTGCTGATCCGCAAGCTGCCGTTCCAGCGGCTGGTGCGCGAGATCGCGCAGGACTTCAAGACCGACCTGCGCTTCCAGAGCTCGGCCGTCATGGCCCTGCAGGAGGCGTGCGAGGCCTACCTGGTGGGGCTCTTCGAGGACACCAACCTGTGCGCCATCCACGCCAAGCGCGTCACCATCATGCCCAAGGACATCCAGCTGGCGCGCCGCATCCGCGGGGAGAGGGCCTGAGCCACACGGTCTGCCCACGCCTTCACAAAGGCTCTTTTCAGAGCCACCTACATGCACGCTGAAAAGGCCTGTTTCCCTGTAATCTGTAGTGCAGTTTCGTCTGCTAGATAGGCCCCATTTCCGGGCATTTTACAATTTTCTTTCTGGAAGTATCTACTAAAGTTCCTTATAAGTGCATTTTCCTCTGCCTTGACAGGTTTGCGCTCTGGTTTATACTTACCCTACTTGACCTGTTCGGCTCTGGTGTGCATCTCAGAACGGCACACAACTTAGTTTGAGCATACAGGAAGACTACCTGCGAATTGCATCGTTCCCTTTCTACTTTGTGAAGTTGATGGAAAGAAATTTCTAAATTACATAGTACTTTAGAAATTGTGTAGTAAGATCACAACTGCTAACTGTTAAACCATCGACCATGATCCTGCTATTTGCCTTCCTGTAAGTGACTTCATCGTAAGTAGAACCTGTGATCTCCACAGCTGGAATTTAGGATGATGCCAATATTTTACCAGTTAGAAATGTCCTAATACCTTCCAGGAAAAGAAAGTATTCTGTGTCCTGTCAGTAATCTGCCTTCCCCTGGAAGGAAATGTAGATGTGAGCCCTCCCTCACAAATCACTTTCCCCAACACACACTTGAGGCCATGGTGATCCAATCTAAGGCCAAATTCTAACCAGAATGGTATTCTTGAGTGTTAAGCAGTGCCTTCCTTTCATATGGGCTGGGAAACAAAGCACCCACAGAAGTCCCTGTCCCCACTGATCAATACTCTTGCTGCCTGGGCAGAGCCCCCTCTCCTGGAGATAAAGCAGTAAATTGAATTCTCCAAATTAGTCTTTTGGTTCTGATTATATGAAGGTTTATTCAGGAGCAGCAAGTGGTTCTAGTTAAATGTGGACATTTTTATTTTATTTTTTTAAAAAGATTTTATTTACTTATTTGAGAGAATGAGATAGCACCAGAGGGGAGAGGGTCAGAGGGAGAAGCAGACTCCCTGCTGAGCAGGGAGCCCGATGCGGGACTCGATCCCAGGACTCCAGGATCATGACCTGAGCTGAAGGCAGTCGCTCAACCAACTGAGCCACCCAGGTGCCCTAAATGTGGACATTTTTAGTTCTGTGGACACGGATACTCCATGCTTTTCAAAACATTCCATGTGCTAAACTGGTCATCTTGTGGCCTTCTACCTAAGCTCTTTCTGGGCTTTCAAGGTTCTCTCATCACCCTGTACTAGAACTTGAGTTTTGCTATAGGAATGGCACACAAAAACAAATAGTGACACTGGGTCATTTTGGCTCGTGCTAATGTGGATGGTGGGGCCATTTATTAAGAAGGCCCCTGGAGGAGTAGTGATGGTGTTGACCAGTCGGATATGCATTTCGAGTTTCCTGGAGATCTACAAGAATGAGTATGCACGTCTGAGCTCAGGAGATAAGTCTGGGATGGACATAAAGATTTAGGAGTCATTAGTATATAAGTAGTATTTTAAACCAATGGCGTGGCCTGCAGATCTGCTCTGGCTCCATCCTGTCCGCTTTATTGCCAGTATCAAACTTCATGTCATTTGCCTGAACATAACACAAGCCATGAGTCTAATGATGTTCATTCTCTGCGGAGATCCCCATACTTTCCTCTAATTCCCAATTTCCTTTAACCTTTAGATCAGATGTTCCTTCTCACAGACCTTACTCCTCTATGCCCTCCTAATTTCCTGTACTTACGTCTCTTGCTATATTGTGTTTTAATTATTTGCTTTTGTGTGATTCTTCCCATTAGATTGCGTTTCTTTTGGATAAGCAGTGTTTTATTGGTGTGTCCTTAATGCACTGTACCTGAATATGAAATAAATATTTATAGAAAGTTTAAGTACATTAAGATTCAATAAAAGAGGAAACAGAAGAAATAGTCCTTGTGTCTCCGTTTCTTGAGATGGCAAAACTAGTAAATGGAATAAATATTCCAATCCTTTCTGAGGCCTAGAATAAAAGGATTGGCTTTGCCTATATAGAAACATGGACAACATACCAGGATCTTTGATCTCACTATTCTCAAAACAGCCTTTGGCTTTTCAGAAGTCTTCCTTTTTTTTTTTTTTCCAAACTGGGGGTCTCCATCATCAAAACTTGTAATCAAGTTAATAGCACTCAGTATCATCCTTGTCATCACCAAGTTTGTACTGCTGTATTGAAGATCTCATTTGGCAGTGTGGTTAATATATGTGCTGTCAGGTAGTAATATGGATAATTAGAATACTCTAAATTGTACTTGAATACTTTTGGTAAGCATCATTAAAATTCTTTAAAGGCAAGTGTTTTAAGATACAAGATTTCCTATCTTCCTACTGACACCCCCACCGGGTTTCTGTGTGCCATTTATGGAAACCATTCCTGCATCCCCCCCAAGGTTGCTTTGATTTGATAGTAAAATTTGTCACCCATAAACCACCCCCAACTAATTTGCAGATATGGACTTAGGTAATCATCTTAATTTATTGTTCTTGTATATTCAATATAAATGACTGAAAAAATACTCTATTTAGTTCACAAATGTCAACTTGTTGGCAATGCATCCTAAATACTATAGGGAAGGAAAGCAATTTTTTCTTCTACCCTTCAGGTACCCTTCTACCCTACCTGGTTTAAGGAATAAATTGACATGGGACAGATTTAACAGGAGGAAAAGCACGTTTTCTTACATGCAGAGGCCCACTGAAATTTTCAACCCCAAAGAAATGACAAAGGAGGCAGTTTTTATACTTCAACAAATGTGAGGACTTGACAGGATAAAAAGATACTTGAGGGCCTGAATGAGAAAATAGCAGAATCTGAGCTCAGAGAGATTAGTAAAATGTTAACAAGGTTTGTTTCTACAAGTCCTCAGCCTTTACAGTCCATTTAATTCTGGTGACAAGATTTTTTTAGTATAGGGAGGGCATTTTTCACGTAGGTTTAACCTGCTTCGGGTTAAACAAGGTCCAAGTGCTTATCTGGCGGCTTCTGAAGCAGCCTCAATTCACAATAACCAATATGCCATCGTGCTAACTTCCTAGTGCACGGGCAGCCTGTCCTCGGCCACTAAAAACCAATTCTAAAATGTGGACAAGGGTTAAGGATGAGCTGGGACTAAAGCCTAACTGGAAACAGGTGTCCCAAATCAACCCTTGGTGATAACACAGAATGACAAGTGTCACCTTTTTAGAACTATGAAAGTGGCTCTGAAAAGAGCCTTTTGTTCATTGTTTCTAACTTCCTCACTTGGCCTTGTGGTGGCTCTCGGTCTTCTTGGGCAGCAGCACGGCCTGGATGTTGGGCAGGACGCCGCCCTGCGCGATGGTGACGCG